GCCGGTCTTCTCCCTCCCTCCCTCCCTCCCTCCCCCTGCCAGTCTTCCGGGTCATTCACCCCAGTGCTGCCTCCACCTCTGCCCAGCCATGGGGCAGGAAGTGGGGGGGGGGGTTCGGAAGGAAGTCCCTGGCTCGGCTCTCAGCCCCTTTCGGTTTGTCTTGAAATGGCTGCAAAAGTGACAGTGCTTCTGGGCATGTCCCAAGTGCCCTTTCCCACGAGGGTCCCGGCGTGTGACCTTTCCAAAAGAAGGGAAGGGGGGTGGAACGGGTTTTTTGCCTCGGTGCCACATCTCGGCAAGGATACCCAGCTCCAGGTCGGGAAACCCCTGGTGATGTGGGAGAGGAACTTGGGGAGGGCAGGGTTTCGGGTGGGGTGGGACCTCCGTGAGGTATAATGCGGTAGAGTCCGTGCTCCGAAGCAGCCGTTTTCTCCGGGGGAGCTGCGCTCTGTCCTCTGAAGATCAGCTATTCTACTAGGAGCTCTCCAGGCCCCACCTGGAGGTTGGCAACTGGACTCAGGACAGACCGCCGCAAGCACTTCCTCGCACAGGAGGGCATAGTTCTTTCGGAACTCACTGCCACCAGAGGTGTCCGTGACCACTTGCGTAGGTGGCTTTAAATGTGAACAAATACAGGGATGGGGACATCTGTCAGCGGTTACTAGCCGCGGGACCTGAATGGAACCTCCACGTTCAGAGGCAGTGTACCTGTACCTCTAAATACCGGCTGTTTGGGGTAAAGAATACTGGAGGACCGGTACCTTTCTGGGAGGCAACCAGCCCATGCTGGGCCCTGGACTGGATGGATTTTCGGCCTCATCCCGGAGAGCTTTTCTGACGCTCTTGTTCTGAGATGTAAAGCTGTGAGTTCGGGTTGCCAGCCTCCAGGTGGGGCCTGGGGAGCGCCTGGAATGACAACTGATCCCCAGACGCCACAGAGACCAGTTCCCCTGGAGAAAATGGTGGCTCCAGAGGGCAGGTTAGGGAAGCTGAGGTCCCCCCCCCTGGCTCCCCCCCCAGTCTTCTGGAATCCCCCAGCCCAGAGTTCCGGCCCTGTGTGCGAGTCTGTGAGCCAGGACTCCTGGGTTCCTTGGAAGGGGACGGGGTCCCACGGGGACTAGGAGCCGGCTCTCTCCAGCTCCCCTTGGAAGAGGTGAGGAGGGTCTCATTCGTTCAGTCACAGGGCTCTGTCAGGGGGCATTTAAAAAACAAAACTCTGGGGTGAAGGTGGGCGAGTGGGAGGGGTGAGGAAGGAACACATATCATCTCCCTCTCCAGACTGAGAAATGGCTGGAGAACTGTGGGGGGGCGGAGCCCGGGGGGCGGAGTTTAAGGAGGGGAGGGGCCTCAGTCCGTGGAGTCCACCCTCCAATGCAGCCATCTTCTTTGGGGGAGCTGAGCTCCGTCCTCTGGAGACCAGTGGTAATTCTGGGAGGTCTCCAGGCCCCACCAGGGGGGTGGCAACCCTACATGCCTCTTCTTGACTACCCGGTGCCTAAGGCACTCCCCGAGGCCTGGACCCCCAACTGCTAGGGCAGGGATGGTGAACCTTTTAGAGACCGAGTGCCCAAACTGCGACCCAAAACCCACTTATTGATCGCAAAGGGCCAACACGGCAATTTAACCTGAATACTGAGGTTTTACTTTAGAAAAAACAACTCATACATTAACTTAAGATGATCCAAACAAAGTAAGGAAAGCAATCCCAAATGCTTTGATTGACTTAAAATTATTTGGCAGAGAATTCGACACCTTAATGACAGTCTGGGCCTGGCTGGGGCGATGGCACGCGTGCCCACAGAGAGGGCTCTGAGTGCCACCTCTGGCACCCGTGCCATAGGTTCACCACCACTGTGCTAGGAGCTCCTGGCCCTTCCCCCTGGAGGGAGCGCACAGATGTACTCCCAGGCCATTCATGCCAGCCTTACGGTCGTCAGGTCCCGTCCCCACCCCCACCCCGGCCACCTGCGGGAGAGGTGAGGGTCACCCGCTTGCCAGATCCAGGTTGGAAAACACGTGGAGATTTGGGGATGGAGCCCGTGGAGGGAAAGGGGCCTCCGTGGGGTAGAGAGAGAGCCGTAGCGTCCACCCTCCAAAGCATCCATTTTCTCCAGGGGATCTGGCCTCTGCAGTCTGGAGATGAGCTGTGACTCCGGCGGATGCTGGTGCGAATCCGTCCAAATAGCTCCCAAGCTGCCCTTTGCAAGTCTTCTCCGGCCCGTGGTG